CCCCTCTCCCCCCTTCCCCTCCCTTTCCCTGTGCCTGTCCCCAATCCTTTCTATAACAACTCTACTTCCTCATGGACGGCAGCAACTACTCTCAACCTGGCGGTAGCGGGTCCCCCCCCTCAAATGGTCGGCTACTTCCAAGGTATGCCCGGCTACAATCCCTCCGGCGGCCCTGCTCCATCCTCCTCCCCGACGCCCGGCGCTCTCGGCTCCTCCCCTGGTGCGCGGCAAGGCTCCTCCATCTCGATCTGGGCCGGTGACCTAGACGCCTACATGGACGAAAACTTCCTTCGTCAAGCCGTTGCTGCATCTGGTTGGGCTCAGGATATCACTCGCATTAAGGTCGTCCGGGACCACTACACTGGTATGCATGCCGGTTATGGCTTCCTCGACGCCGCGTCCCCCGAGGCCGCCGAGCGCGTCATAGCCACCGGCAGTGGCTTGCCCATCCCCGGCACCAACCGCTGCTGGAGACTCAACATGGGTCGTAATGCGGCCGTTCATACCCATCCCGGTTCCGCCGCTGGCACAGAGATCAACATCTACGTCGGTAATCTTGAGCCGAGTGTCACTGACTACCAACTCATGACCGCATTCCGTCCCAGGTACACCTCCGTTCGCCACGCCAAGGTCGTCTGCAATGAGTACGGACAGTCTCGCGGCTTTGGCTTCGTTCGCTTCGCCAACCCCCAGGACGCAGAGCGCGCCGTGTCCGAGATGCAAGGCTTTGAGTTCAACTCCAAGCCTATCCGTTTATCCCCTGCAACAGGTCGCAATCGCGGTCCCGGTGCCGGTCGCGGTGGTGGTGGCGGCGGGGGCTACAATAACCATGGGCAGCCCCCGCATAGTGGCGGCCACGGTGCTCCAAACAACAAACGTCCGAGGCAGGTCATGAGCCCTGATGATCCTAATAACACTACCATCTTTATTGGTGGCACAGGGAACCATATCACCGAAGATCTTCTGTGGCGTGAGTTTTCTGCCTTTGGTGAACTGGACGCCGTTCGCGTCCCCGTCAATAAGACTGGGTTTGCTTTTGTCCGCTTCAAGCGTCGAGAGGATGCCCAGCGTGCGAAAGAAGAGCTCTCTGGTTCCCACTACGTTACCCTCAATCCCAACAAGCCGGTCCGCGTCGAATGGGCCTCGGAGCAGATCGCCATCACCAAGCCCCCTCCAGTCCAGAACATGCCCCTTATGTACTCATCCGGCGGAGCCGCTCAATCCTTTGATCCGCAGTACAACCCTTCCACGTACAACAATTCCCCCGGCGTCAACCAGGCCCCTGGACAGCATCCCTTTGGCTCCTATTCCTCCCCCTCTAGCCAAGCAAACAACTCCAGCTCTATGCCCACAACTTCCTCCACACCGGCCACCGGTGCACAGCCCTCTATGAACTCAACTGCAAACGGCGTCACCAAGAACGATGAGAGCAGCACTGGCAACGATATGACTTCTGGAGCGTCTCCTGCGAAAGACGGCGCTACGGCAAAGGCTGATGCGCATGGTGAGACTGAACCCCCTTCGAAGAGAGCTGCTGTAGGCCGCCCCGAATACACGGGATCTGGGGCGGACAATGGAGTTAAAGAAGGCCTCAATGACACCAAGGCTGCTGGCGTGGCTGATGATTCGCCGGCCATGCAGTTTTCCTGGTTGAATGCGTCCTCCACGCAGCCAGCTTCCAACCCGCAGTAATCTCCGAATACAGTGCAGTCACTGAGCATGCAATTGTACCTCCACGTGTGGAACCTAATCTCAACCGAAGCTCAGGACCAAGTAATTCTTCTACCGCATGTGCTGCGTGTCGTGCACCGATGTTGGAATCTGAATTGCAGAGGCCTTAAGTGCCCCCAAGTCGAATTCTTTCTATGTGTACTGGAACCTGTGATGGGCACCAAAACTGGGGATACAGTGAGTTGGGGCCTGATAAACAGCTTCGAGATTCGCGCCTTCACATGCCTCCCTGCCATCTGCCGTATCTGGAAAACATCTCCATCCTGTCGTCTTTGTGTCCTAGATATCCTGAATTGTAAGCAAACCATGTTGTAACTCTGCTATGAAAATGGCAGACCTCTCAAGTATATTCTAGATTCCCTCGCCAATGCGCGTTTTCTTTCTCCATTTTGCCACGGTAGCCACAAAATGTACGTACTCTTTTTGTTACGGTTCTAACTGAGAACTGCCTAGCAAGGAAAACTGTTTTGCGGCTGGTGCTGCAAGCACCTTTTCTAGCATGTGCTGTCCTCGCGCACTAGACCGACTGCTTGACGTTTAAGGTTATATCCCTGGACTCAGGTTATTCCAGACGTTCGCCTGGTATATTTTATTGCTGATAACGCAGGCACTCCATGATCTGTCTGCCCCTCCAACGACTTGCTATGCAGTTGTTCCAGATTATTTACAATGTTTAGTTACAAATATAAGGTTACAGTGTGCTCCCGGCGCCTGGGGAAAAGCTCCCCCCGCGCCGAGATCGCGAGGATGCCCTCAATAGGGGCGAAAGCGGCATAGACATCGACTTGCAGGGGTCGTGACTTGAAGCAGCATTGATAACCTCTTCCTTCTGACCAGCGCTCTCCTTAGTGCTACTTGCGTGACATACGTGACTCCACAAAGCAACAGAAAATCTTGCTTTCGAATCACGGCCCGAAGGACGCCAAGTGATAGCGCAGCTATAAGGGGTTTTGATTTTGCGAATGCCCGCCCCAAACGTGAAGGGTCCAATTTCCTTCATTAGTCACACATGCCCACGTCTGAAGCCATTGCGAAAGGAGCCTCTCTTAGATGTTATGAGAGAATTCTTGAACCTGAGTGATGCGACCGTTGCGAATAGAGGAAAGGAGCGCCTTGCCTTGAAAAAGCCTTCCCTGAAGCCGCTGGCACATGCCACGACTGCGACTTTCGCACCTTGCTTAGATAAGATTCGTGCTGGTGACACGCTAGCCCGTCTGTTCTCCTTCGAATATCGCGACTTCTACGGTCATCATCACCCACCTGGCCACAGGTGCTAAACTGATCAATTGAGGTGCGTGGGGCACCGAGACAGGCGATTGGATGTCTCCTGCGGCGCGACTTTGGAAAAATCTTTTGGTACTTGACGTTGTCGGGCATGCCTTCCAACGATGCTCGGTCATACTTCATCTGCTTGAGCTCCTCAAGAAACTGTGTGTATCTCCCGAAGACGACAGACTGGAAATCCTCGACAACGTTGTTGTGCTTCGCCTCGGGGATCCAGAGGGGTTTGACGGCGTGGCCATTTCGCTTGATCTTTTCGACGAGCCTCTCGCCGTGCAGCTTGGGAACAAGTTCGTCCATGTCGCCATGCACAACAAGAACAGGGCAACGAATCTTGCTGACACGGTCGATGTTCGGAAATGTATCAATAAAAGGAAGGGTTATGTTTAGCCTCTTCAAGGCGACTCTCACTGCCGAGGCAATGGGGGCAATGAGGACGAGCCCCGCAACGCTTTGCGAGGCGGCGCAATACACAGCCGGGCCACTCCCGATACTCCTTCCACTGACAATGATTTGTGACGGATGGACTCCCGCCTCGTTGACTAAATAGGCATAGGCAGCATCAATGTCGCTGCAGCAGGCCTTCTCCGACGGTTCAACCCTGGTTCGATCGCTCTCCTTTAGCGAGGGTTGGACTTGGACCCTTCCCCGTTTATTAGCGTGACGCTTTGACTTTTCGGAGAGGCCATACCCAGAGTACTCAAAGGTGAAGACGTCGACGGCAAGGGCGCGGCTGAGGGTGTGGGCGTCCTGGATGCTGGAACCCAAGTCCTCTCCATTCTGGTGGGCGTACAATATGACAAACTCAGCGTCGGGATGACGCACCCAGGCGCAGGGGATGCGGACGTTCAGCGAGGTGAGCAGCCAAACGAGCTCGGTTTTGTGGATGGTGGGGAGGCCGGCGACGTCCGGCAGAACGTACTTGAGGTAGCCGTCAACCGACTGGTAAGACACAACGGGCGGCGGGCGGAAGACAAGATGTGAGTAGAGTTGCCCCATGCGGGCTGGCTGGTCGGTGCGAGGAACAGGGGAGCGGGTGAAGGATGGAGGTTGAGAGGCGAGAGCAGAGGCGGGGTGTGGACGGGATAGGGTTTTCAAGTGGGCGGGGGGAGCGGGTGGAGACAAGGGGGACCGAGGAGGAGGGGGGGGTGAGTGGGGGCGGTGGATTTGGGGGAATTTAAAGTGGCATGGCGCGAAATGTGGGGAAGGGAGGGATGGACTTGAGGCCAGAAAAAAAGGAAGAGGCGATGGAAGATTGGGGGGGAATGTAGAGCGGACGCGAATAGGCGGATGAGGTTGTATGCACGCGTGGGGGGAGGGAGATGTGCGAAGCGCGGGGAGTGGATGGTACTGTACAGTAGTGGTACGGTAGAAACAAGGCAGATTAGATTGCGGAAGTAAAAATGCGAAGGCGGTGTGGTGGTCGGTGGGCACCCGTGGCGTGGAGCGGTGTGCGCGCGATTGCCAGCAGCCCGCAGCTGCCCCTGCACTGGCGGCAGAGCGACTTGATGATGCCGTTTTCAGCCTCTTACACCGGCGCCGGCCGCGCCCGCGCGCCTGTGTACAGTACCCTTGGTATGACGGACACGTGCCTCGCCAGGCGCCGGATTCGGTGAGCAAAACGCTCCATGCACGCGGGTTCGCACAGGCCGATTTTGGCCCGCGCTACCGATCCATTTTAGGCAAGCCCCGCTCCCGCCCCCAACCCCCCTCCCTGTCACCTGCGGCGGTACATGTGCTGTACCCCCGTCCTGAGACTACCCTTCGAAGGGTACACCCGCGGGAGCGACAACTCATCCTCAGCAGACCTCGTCAGACCTCGTCAGCGTTCCCGCCTTATCCTTCGTCGAGCCGCGAAGGCCCTCGGGCTCACTGCCCCCGGCATACTGTAAACTTTACAACACTCCGGCCGGCACAAAGCAGGCACGCAGATGAGGAAGGATCAAGTTCGGAAATCCGCGCGCCGCATCCCGTATCCAACTTACTCGTCTGTCTCGCCCCACTTGCTCCTGTGACGCACGCCGCCCTTGCACAACGTGCTTGCGAGACCGATATCCACTGCATGCACGACCAAGGGTACGGTATCTCCGCAAATACACACCGCCACTAAAAGGCCACAATCGTGCCTTACTTTCTGCCACGGCACCTGGCGGACAGCGCTGCTCTCGTCTCCGGCGCTGTTGCGTGCCTGTTGCGTCGGTGTTGCTCGATGATCGAACGGCGCCTCCTGGGGCTTCTGTTGAGAGACGTTGGTGGCAGGTGAAGTGGGTTCCCTGAATCGCAGGGCGCCACGTCAAATCTCCGTGAGATTCCGGAGCCCAAGCAAAAAGGTGTGACGCCTCGTTTTCTCTCGTGTTCGGTACTGTACGTGCCCCACTCGCACCTCCTCGGCGTCGCAGGTGATTGGCGGAAGGGGCAAGAGTCCAACTTTGTTGTGGATGTAGTTTCCAACCGCTTTTTTACCGACCACCCGCATATTCGGGCCGCATATTGTTGATATATGCCTTGTTCAGTGCAACACGTCTTACCCTACCACAACGAATCAATGCCTATTTTTTCCTGAAATTATTTGTTTTTTTCACTTCACCTCGCATACGATAGCGCTTTTCTCCCGAGCAATACGCCACAAGGCCGATTTTGTACGCTTTACAGTCAGTCCCAACCAACAGTCCTGTACCAGCTGGCTCTCCTCCGACCCAAATATAGAAATGTGGCTGTGCTGTGTCTTTTTGCTCTTTTTGTTGTACGGTGCTCCCTCCCCCTTTTGCGGTGTACTGCAGCAGGTAAATTTACAGTAGTGGGCGTATGCATTTGAGCGTGTAGGCGATTTACAGTATTTCATATATTTCTTGAATTCGTGTCATGCGTCTCTGTTTCATTGCTGTCGAGTGGACTGAAAAAGTCGGCCAGCGATGTTGCCTGCCTCTCCGACACATGTCCTCTGTGCCCTCATGAACAACGTCCGTAAGAGAATCGATATGATCATCGCTTTATATGCAGCGACATTGAAACATTGTTTACGTGCTAGAATCGCAGGAACCGACGGCGTGCCGTGGCTTGCCTTGCAGCATGCGCGGACTTGCAGTAAACAGGGATGCACCTATCCGGGGACCACTAGTGTCCGTACTGTACCGTTTACCGTTCGGTATACCGTAGAATCTCATCTTGGTCCGTAAACTTCAATCGCCATGACCTCTCAAGTTTTACCTCATCTTGTTGTTGCTCACCTGGACATCTCCTGTACCTCGCCGTAGAAACGTCCACGCCAATGTCCAGCCCCCATTTCAGACCCTTGTTCATGTCACCCCTACTAACACCAGCAGGCACTAACCGTAGGAAACACTAACCCTAGCTTGCTTACGTCATCGTATATCCTCCATTCGTCAAAGCCGACTGTCTTCTCCCGGAAAGCCCCATGATGCGTCTAACAGCCTGCAATCGATTTTTACGTCCGCCGCACTTAATTCTGATCTATGAATTTTGCATTCGCTTCTTCTCGAAACCTTATTCATCCAGAGCATACTCTGCAAATCATTCTTCGCCAGCCATAAACTTACCACGCAACCTTTTTTTTTCAGCTTGTCTGACTAGAATCGATAATGATCAGCCCATGTCTACGTCACAATCGATACAACCACAGCCCTTCGATATCCCGAAATACACTTTTGATCTGTGGTGATATCCACTTCTTTAGACTCAATTCGTCATCCTACACTTGCAAGGTTCGCTTCTGCCGTGTCAAACACCCTCATTAGTGCAAACCATGCTCTCATGGCGCATGCTTCTGCCATCATCCATTCGGTCTTCTTTAAATCGTTCGTAATTTCATCGCTGTTTCGACTTGAATTGCTACAATCAATTCAACCGCACCGATACAACGACACGAATATTTCAAGCCACGGAAGAACTCAACGATCTGTGCGAACGCATAACTCTTTTCAGACATCTGACCCGCTCATTCGCTTGTCTTTGGCATCACAAATATCGCAATTCATCATCGCCTAAAGCCCCATCTAGAAGTTCCAGAGGCATCATCAGTCAGAGCCTCCCTGCAAGTCGCTCTGCCAGTCAACAGAACAGTAACGTGTTGAAATGTACTTCGCACACAACAAGCACAGATCGCGCTCACAGGCCTTTCTGTGTGCTCTTCAAGTGGCAATGTGTCTTTGAAGAGTTGATTTTTATGCAAAGCTCCACAGGGATGTCGCCCCAGTGATATTCATGTGTGTTGCATAAATGCCTGTGTAACCTACCTGTACACGTTCCACAATGAGAAATATGGATACTCAAAAAAGCACAGAAAGCTATATTGACCGTCATTCAAGTGCCCCACATTGATCTCTAGCTAACACAATGGCGGCAAGGCCTATCTTATGTCCGAAAAAGCGACTGACACATTACCTGTCTTCATCTCTCCTTCTCTACAGTAACATCGGAGTGGCACATTTTCGTGTACATTTGTGGCTCTTCATGTGTACAAACATTTGCCCTAGTCATCATGTGTTTTACCCATCTGTAGTCCCACGCTCTTCTTTCTATGATATTGTAGACTGCCAGTGTCTAGGAGGCTTGTCTGGAAGCAAGTATGTACAGGCTTAATTTACATCGTCACCTGAAATCATAAAGTTTATTGTGTTCAACTACGGCAAAATATTTACATGCTGGCCGAAGTTGAAAAACATTTGTCCAAGTTCCAACTTGTCCACAAACAAATATCGATATGCCTCTTCCCCCTTTTCCTTTTCGCCTAGTAACCAATCCCCAGCAGCCCTAGATAAACTTGTGATCCTCAAATTGGAAGTAAACTAAACATAGGTCGACAGCGTCTGGTATGATCGATACCATGCAAATGCAAGTGGCCAAAAGGGATGCTTGTGAAGTATCAATAGTAAAGTACTTGAATAGATACATATGGACCAGTGGTCGGCGAAAGCGGACCTCAAAGGGCGTTGAACAACCGTAACTTGGACAACGTTTTCTGTGGAATAGAGCCAAGTCTGTCTAACTCATCCTCAAACCAACAACAATTCGTCTCAAACAGACACTTGCGAAAGACTTCAAAAGACAGCAGCGCGAAGTCAGAACCGACCATCTTTCTCGGCTGAAAATGCAAATAAACTGTGCCCCGCTGATTGTATTGATGGATATGACTTCGAGAAATGTACAATACCATACATCTCAAACTGTGGACCGGCATCTTTTCTGTGACTCATATGGGAGTGCATGGCTGTTTGGCATGCACCTTAAAACGAATGATCAAGGGCGGCTTCTGTAGGGAGTGGGGACAGAGGAGTGTCATTCTGGAGCACATCTCGAAAAGAGGCACAATTCGTTGACCCGACGTGAACAACTTTGGAGTGCGTAAACGCTCTGTTGCACTTCGCAACGTTCCTGATTATGACACGAGAGGCCTGCCACTGCAGGAATGCCTGAGTATTAGTGTTGTGCATGGAGAACCTGATGGACATCCTTAATGCATTTCGTGGACCATACTAATGAAAATAATGCTAAATGCAATCGGGTATTAATTGACCATTGATTTGAAAATGGAGAGGAATATTTGTGGGTTTACGCAACAAGCTTTTCAGAAATAGAAATGACTATTTTCAGCAATTGTAATTTCGCACAAGCGCATTTCTGAAAAGCAGATTTTCTTGCAATTTTTGCATTACGCAACACTTATCCGTTACAGTTATGAGTATTAGAATTTATATAGCCTACCCCCTCCTACTCCCATCCAAAAAATAAAGTGGTACAGCAACACAGTATGACGCTTGGACGCCAAAGAGACCACAGCTATGCGAAAACTGTCGCAAGGAAGCAGAGATGGGAGGTTGCGGCGTACATCCTCATGCGGAGGCGCCGTACAGCAAACAATAATGCTTCTATCTCCCAGCTTCTCCACAGAGCACTTGAAAAATATCAAGTGCTGTCATCAGAAGGCGCAAATTTTATTTCGAAAGCTAACCGTATCTCTATGTCTGACTTTTCTTTCAACT